CCGTGGCTTTCCGTGGTTTTCCATGAGGCTTTCTGTGGGGCTTTCCGTGGTTTTCCATGAGGCTTTCTGTGGGGCTTTCCGTGGTTTTCCATGAGGCTTTCTGTGGGGCTTTCCGTGGCTTTACTTGGGCTTTCTGTGGGGCTTTCCGTGGCTTTACTTGGGCTTTCTGTGGGGCTTGCCGTTGCTTTACGTGGGCTTTCTGTGAGGCTTTCCGTGGCTTTACTTGGGCTTTCTGTGAGGCTTTCCGTGGCTTTGCTTGAGGTTTCTGTGAGGCTTTCCGTGGCTTTACTTGGGCTTTCTGTGAGGCTTTCCGTGGCTTTACTTGAGGTTTCTGTGAGGCTTTCCGTGGCTTTACTTCGGCTTTCTGTGAGGCTTTCCGTGGCTTTACTTGGGCTTTCTGTGGGGCTTTCCGTGGCTTTACTTGAGGTTTCTGTGAGGCTTTCCGTGGCTTTACTTGAGGCTTTCTGTGGGGCTTTCCGTGGCTTTACTTGGGCTTTCTGTGGGGTCTTTCCGTGGTTTTCCATGAGGCTTTCTGTAGGGCTTTCCGTGGCTTTACTTGGGCTTTCTGTGGGGCTTTCCGTGGCTTTACTTGAGGTTTCTGTAGGGCTTTCCGTGGCTTTACTTGAGGCTTTCTGTGGGGCTTTCCGTGGCTTTACTTGGGCTTTCTGTGGGGTCTTTCCGTGGTTTTCCATGAGGCTTTCTGTAGGGCTTTCCGTGGCTTTACTTGGGCTTTCTGTGGGGCTTTCCGTGGCTTTACTTGAGGTTTCTGTAGGGCTTTCCGTGGCTTTACTTGGGCTTTTTGTGGGGCTTTCCGTGGCTTTACTTGAGGTTTCTGTGAGGCTTTCCGTGGCTTTACTTGAGGTTTATGTGGGCCTTTCCGTGGCCTTCTGTGGCTTTCTGTGGCCTTCAATGGCCTTCCGTGGCTTTTCTTGAGCTTTCTGTGGCTTTCTGTGGATTTTTGTGGATTTTCGTGGCCTTTTTGTCGCTTTTCGTGGCTTTCTATGGCTTTCCGTGGCCTTCCGTGGCCTTCCGTGGCTTTCCGTGGCCTTCCGTGGCTTTACTTGAGGTTTCTGTGGGGCTTTCCGTCGCTTTACTTGTGGTTTCTGTGAGGCCTCTGTGATGATGATGATGGTGGTGGTGGTGGTGATGATGGTGATGATGATGGTGGTGTCGGTGATTCCCTCTGACGATGTCACACGGTGGCTTGGGAGATGTTCACAACCTTCACCAGCTATACGGGAGGTTCTTGTTATTGTTGTGGCTTTGCTCTCTCGTGCTGTACCCGTATACTACACTATGCACTACACTACTTTACACTACACTACTTTACACTACACTACACACTACACTACTTTACACTACACGCTACACTACTTTACACCTCACTATACACTACTTTACACTACACTACTACACTACACTATACACTACACTATACACTACACTATACACTACACTATATACTACACTATACACTACACTATACATTACACTATACACTGTACACTGCACTATACACTACACTATACATTACACTATACACTGTACACTACACTATACACTACACTATACATTACACTATACACTGTACACTACACTATACACTACACTATACACTACGCTTGTGTGTGTGGACCGCCTTGACACTGCCCTCCCCCTGCTGCTACTACTGCTGCTACTACTGCTGCTACTACTACTACTACTGCTGCTGCTACTACTACTACTACTGCTACAACTACCACTACTGCTGCTGCTACCGCTACTACTGCTACTACTACTGCTACCGCTACTGCTACCTCTACTGCTACCTCTACCGCTGCTGCTACTACTGCTGCTACTACTGCTACTGCTACCTCTACTGCTACCTCTACCACTGCTGCTACTACTGCTGCTACTACTGCTACTGCTACCTCTACTGCTACCTCTACTGCTACCTCTACTGCTACCTTTACTGCTACCTCTACTGCTACTGCTGCTGCTACTACTGCTACCTCTACTGCTACCTCTACTGCTACCTCTACTGCTACTGCTACTGCTGCTACTACTGCTACTACTACTACTGCTACCTCTACTACTACTGCTGCTACTACCACTTCTACTGCTGGTACTGCTGCTACTACTGCTACTACTACTGCTGCTGATACTACTGCTGCTACTACTACTGCTACCACTACTACTACTGCTACTACTACTGCTACTACTACTGCTACTGCTACCTCTACTACTACTACTACCTCTACTACTACTACCTCTACTGCTCCTGCTACCGCTGCTGCTGCTGCTGCTACCTCTGCTGCAGGCTCTACGACGGAGGAGGAGTTCTTCGAGGCATCTGACTCCTTCCCGTCGGGGGCGGCCGTGGGTCACGTGACCAACTCCTCCTCCGTTGGTGACGACGTAGTGGCGGCCGTGGGTCACGTGACCAACTCCTCCTGCGTTGGTGATGACGTAGTGGCGGCTCTGGGTCACGTGACCAACTCCTCCGTTGTTGGCGACGACGTAGTGGCGGCCGTGGGTCACATGACCAAGTCCTCCATTGGTGACGACATAGTGGCGGCCGTGGGTCACATGACCAACTCCTCCGTTGTTGGCGAAGATGTAGTGGCGGCCGTGGGTCACATGACCAAGTCCTCCATTGGTGACGACATAGTGGCGGCCGTGGGTCACATGACCAACTCCTCCGTTGTTGGCGAAGATGTAGTGGCGGCCGTGGGTCACGTGACCAACTCCTCCTCCGTTGTTGGCGAAGATGTAGTGGCGGCCGTGGGTCACATGACCAAGTCCACCGTTGTTGGTGATGACGACGTAGGGGCGGCCGTGGGTCACGTGACCAACACCACCGTTGTTGGCGATGACGTAGTGGCGGCCGTGGGTCACGTGACCAACTCCTCCTCCGTTGTTGGTGACGACGTAGTGGCGGCCCTGGGTCACGTGACCAACACCACCGTTGGTGATGACGTAGTGGCGGCCGTGGGTCACGTGACCAACTCCTCCATTGTTGGTGACGACGTAGTGGCGGCCGTGGGTCACGTGACCAACACCACCGTTGGTGACGACGTAGTGGCGGCCGTGGGTCACGTGACCAACTCCTCCTCCGTTGTTGGTGACGACGTAGTGGCGGCCGTGGGTCACGTGACCAACTCCTCCTCCGTTGTTGGCGAAGATGTAGTGGCGGCCGTGGGTCACATGACCAAGTCCTCCGTTGTTGGTGACGACGTAGTGGCGGCCGTGGGTCACGTGACCAACTCCTCCGTTGTTGGTGACGACGTAGTGGCGGCCGTGGGTCACGTGACCAACTCCTCCTCCGTTGTTGGTGACGACGTAGTGGCGGCCCTGGGTCACGTGACCAACACCACCGTTGGTGATGACGTAGTGGCAGCCGTGGGTCACGTGACCAACTCCACCGTTGTTGGTGATGACGTAGTGGCGGCCGTGGGTCACGTGACCAACTCCTCCGTTGTTGGTGACGACGTAGTGGCGGCCGTGGGTCACGTGACCAACTCCACCGTTGTTGGTGACGACGTAGTGGCGGCCGTGGGTCACGTGACCAACTCCTGTGTTGGTGACGACGTAGTGGCGGCCGTGGGTCACGTGACCAACTCCACCGTTGGTGACGACGTAGTGGCGGCCGTGGGTCACGTGACCAACTCCTCCGTTGTTGGCGAAGATGTAGTGGCGGCCGTGGGTCACATGACCAAGTCCTCCGTTGTTGGTGATGACGACGTAGTGGCGGCCGTGGGTCACGTGACCAACTCCTGTGTTGTTGGTGATGACGTAGTGGCGGCCGTGGGTCACGTGACCAACTCCTCCTCCGTTGGTGATGACGTAGTGGCGGCCGTGGGTCACGTGACCAACTCCTCCTCCGTTGTTGGTGACGACGTAGTGGCGGCCGTGGGTCACGTGACCAACTCCTCCATTGTTGGTGATGACGTAGTGGCGGCCGTGGGTCACGTGACCAACTCCTCCGTTGTTGGTGACGACGTAGTGGCGGCCGTGGGTCACGTGACCAACTCCTCCTCCGTTGTTGGTGACGACGTAGTGGCAGCCCTGGGTCACGTGACCAACACCACCGTTGGTGACGACGTAGTGGCCGCCGTGGGTCACGTGACCAACACCACCAACTCCTCCTCCTACTGCTCAGCCATCGCCGCCGGCGACGACGACGACGACGGACCAATCGCGGGCCAGGATCCCGGCCGGGTGACGGGTGGCTCGGAGTTAGGGGGGCGGAGCGACCGCGGGGCCGAAGGTCGCGGGGGTCTGGAGGTCGAAGGTCGCGGAGGCTCTGGGCGGGTCGAGGGGCGGGGCCGTCGCCGGGTCAAGGGTCAATACGGGGGCCGGGCCGGCGATGGAGGCGACTTGGTGGAGGAGGTGGAGGAGGAGGAGGTGGAGGACGAGGAGGAGGAGGAGGAGGTGGAGGAGGAGGAGGAGGAGGAGGAGGAGGACGAGGAGGAGGTTGTGGAGGAGGATGGAGGGGGGAGGAGAAGGAGGAGGATGAGGAGGAGCAGCGATGGGGACTGTGTTGGTGACGTCACGAGCAGGGAGGATGGTGGTGAGGGTGGTGGTGAGGGTGGTGGTGGTGGTGGTGAGGGTGAGGGTGGTGGTGGTGAGGGTGGTGGTGGTGGTGGTGGGGGTGGTGGTGAGGGTGGTGGTGGTGAGGGTGGTGGTGAGGGTGGTGGTGGTGGTGGTGGTGAGGGTGGTGGTGGTGAGGGTGGTGGTGGTGATGGTGGTGGTGGTGATGGTGGTGATGGTGGTGGTGAGGGTGGTGGTGGTGGTGGTGAGGGTGGTGGTGAGGGTGGTGGTGGTGAGGGTGGTGGTGGTGAGGGTGGTGGTGGTGGTGGTGAGGGTGGTGGTGGTGAGGGTGGTGGTGGTGGTGGTGGTGGTGAGGGTGGTGGTGGTGAGGGTGGTGGTGGTGGTGGTGAGGGTGGTGGTGGTGAGGGTGGTGGTGGTGGTGGTGGTGGTGAGGGTGGTGGTGAGGGTGGTGGTGGTGAGGGTGGTGGTGAGGGTGGTGGTGAAGGTGGTGGTGGTGAGGGTGGTGGTGGTGGTGGTGAGGGTGAGCAGCCTGACCTGGTGGGACTCCTTCACCGCGTGCCACAGCTGATGGAGAAGTTCGACCACGTGGTGGAGATGCTGACTCAGCTGCAGGTGAGTGGGTGGGTGGGTGGGTGAGTGAGTGGGTGGGTGAGTGAGTGAGTGGGTGGGTGGGTGAGTGGGTGAGTGGGTGGGTGGGTGGGTGAGTGAGTGAGTGGGTGGGTGGGTGAGTGGGTGGCTGGGTGAGTGGGTGAGTGGGTGGGTGGGTGGGTGGCTGGGTGAGTGGGTGAGTGGGTGGGTGGGTGAGTGGGTGGGTGGGTGGGTGAGTGGGTGGGTGGGTGAGTGGGTGGGTGGGTTGGTGGGTGAGTGGGTGGGTGGGTTGGTGGGTGAGTGGGTGGGTGGGTTGGTGGGTGAGTGGGTGGGTTGGTGGGTGGGTGGGTTGGTGGATGCGTGGGTTGGTGGGTGTGTGGGTGGGTGGGAGAGTGGGTGGCTGGGTGAGTGGGTAGGAGAGTGGGTGGCTGGGTGAGTGGGTAGCTGGGTGGGTGAGTGAGTGACTGACTGAGTGACTGAGTGGCTGACTGACTGAGTGTGTGAGAGACTGAGTGAGAGACTGAGTGACTGACTAACTGACTGAATGACTGACTTACTGACTGAGTGCCTGACTGACTGATTGAGTGACTGACTGTGTGAGAGACTGAGTGAGTGACTGAGTGACTGACTGGCTGACTGCCTGACTGAGTGACTGACTGAGTGAGTGACTGGCTGACTGACTGATTGAATGACTGAGTGACTGAGTGACTGAGTGACTGACTGAGTGGCTGACTGACTGAGTGACTAAATGACTGAGTGACTGAATGACTGACTGACTGAGTGACTAACTGAGTGACTGACTGAGTGACTGATTGAGTCTCCCACTATCACCCGCCCTGCCACACAGACAATGGAATCCGAGTTCAAGGCTTTCAAACAACAGGTTGAGCTGATGGTCACGCGACAACAACAACAACAACGTCATCAACATCAACAACAACATCATCAACAACAACAACGTCATCAACAACAACATCATCAACAACAACATCAACATCAACAAAAACAACGACATCAACAACATCAACAACAACAACAACGTCATCAACATCAACAACGTCGTCGGAACGATAGCAGCCTCATCATCGGCTCCACCTCCCCACCAGGAGCATCATCATCATCAGCATCATCATCATCAGCAGTAGCAGCATCATCATCAGCAGTAGTATCATCATCATCAGCAGTAGTATCATCATCAGCAGTAGTAGCATCATCAGCAGCGTCATCATCATCAGCAGTAACATCATCGTCTGCGTCATTATCATCAGCATCAGTAGCATCATCATCAGCAGCAGCATCATCAGCAGCAGCATCATCAGCAGGAGCTATGTGCCGAAGTGACAGGATGTGATGGAGGTGAGAGAGGTTGGAGAGAGATGCATCACTCAGCGCACTTCATGAAACACATCACTCACTCCGTCATCATCTAACGTGTCTCTGTCTGTCTCTGTCTGTGTCTCTGTCTCTCTCCCCGTGTCTCTCTCTGTCTCTCACCCCGTGTCTGTCTCTCACCCCGTGTCTCTGTCTGTCTCTCTCCCCGTGTCTGTCTCTCTCCCCGTGTCTCTCTCTATCTCCCCGTGTCTCTCTCACCCCGTGTCTCTCTCTCTCCCCGTGTCTCTCTCTCTCCCCGTGTCTCTCTCTGTCTCTCACCCCGTGTCTCTCTCTACCCGTGTCTCTCTATCCCCGTGTCTCTCTCCCCGTGTCTCTCTCTGTCTCTCACCCCGTGTCTCTCTCTCTCTCTCTCCCCGTGTTTCTCTCTCACCCCGTGTCTCTCTCACCCCGTCTCTCTCTCTCCCCGTGTCTCTCTCTCCCCGTGTCTCTCTCTCCCCGTGTCTCTCTCCCCGTGTCTCTCACCCCGTGTCTCTCTCTCCCCGTGTCTCTCTCCCCGTGTCTCTCTCTGTCTCTCACCCCGTGTCTCTCTCTACCCGTGTCTCTCTCCCTGTGTCTCTCTGTGTCTCTCACCCCGTGTCTCTCTCTCTCCCCGTGTTTCTCTCTCACCCCGTGTCTCTCTCTCCCCGTCTCTCTCTCTCCCCGTGTCTCTCTCTCCCCGTGTCTCTCTCCCCGTGTCTCTCTCCCCGTGTCTCTCTCCCCGTGTCTCTCACCCCGTGTCTCTCTCTCCCCGTGTCTCTCTCCCCGTGTCTCTCTCTCCCCGTGTCTCTCTCTCCCCGTGTCTCTCTCTCCCCGTGTCTCTCTCCGTGTCTCTCTCCGTGTCTCTCTCTCCCCGTGTTTCTCTCTCTCCCCCCGTGTCTCTCTCTCCCCGTGTCTCTCTCTCCCCGTGTCTCTCTCCCCGTGTCTCTCTCTCCCCGTGTGTGTCTCTCTCTCTCCGTGTCTCTCTCTCCCCGTGTCTCTCCCCGTGTCTCTCTCCCCGTGTCTCTCTCTCTCGCCGTGTGTCTCTCTCCGTGTCTCTCTCCCCGTGTCTCTCTCTCCCCCCGTGTGTCTCTCTCTCCGTGTCTCTCTCTCCCCGTGTGTATCTCCCCGTGTCTCTCTCTCTCCCCGTGTCTCTCTCTCTCCCCGTGTCTCTCTCTCCCCGTGTCTCTCTCTCCCCGTGTCTCTCCCCGTGTCTCTCTCTCCCCGTGTGTCTCTCTCTCTCTCCGTGTCTCTCTCTCCCCGTGTCTCTCTCTCTCCCTGTGTCTCTCTCTCCCCGTGTCTCTCCCCGTGTCTCTCTCTCCCCGTGTGTCTCTCTCCCCGTGTGTCTCTCTCCGTGTCTTTCTCTCCCCGTGTCTCTCTCTCTCCCTGTGTCTCTCTCTCCCCGTGTCTCTCTCTCCCCGTGTCTCTCTCCCCGTGTGTCTCTCTCCCCGTGTGTCTCTCTCCGTGTCTCTCTCTCCCCGTGTCTCTCTCTCCCCGTGTCTCTCTCCCCGTGTCTCTCTCTCTCCCCGTATGTCTCTCTCCGTGTCTCTCTCTCCCCGTGTCTCTCTCTCCCCGTGTGTGTCTCTCTCTCTCCGTGTATCTCTCTCCCCGTCTCTCTCTCTCTCTCTCCCCGTGTCTCTCTCTCCCCGTGTGTCTCTCTCCCCGTGTGTCTCTCTCTCTCTCCCCGTGTCTCTCTCTCCGTGTCTCTCTCTCCGTGTGTCTCTCTCTCTCCGTGTCTCTCTCCCCGTGTCTCTCTCTCCCCGTGTCTCTCTCTCCCCGTGTGTTTCTCTCTCCCCGTGTCTCTCTCTCCCCGTGTCTCTCTCCCCGTGTCTCTCTCCCCCCGTGTCTCTCTCTCCGTGTCTCTCTCCCCGTGTCTCTCTCTCCCCGTGTCTCTCTCTCCCCGTGTGTCTCTCTCTCCCCGTGTCTCTCTCTCCCCGTCTCTCTCTCCCCGTGTCTCTCTCTCTCCGTGTCTCTCTCTCCCCGTGTCTCTCTCTCCCCGTGTGTCTCTCTCTCTCCCCGTGTCTCTCTCTCCCTGTGTCTCTCTCTCCCCGTGTCTCTCTCTCCGTGTGTCTCTCTCTCTCCCCGTGTCTCTCTCTCCCTGTGTGTCTCTCTCCCCCCGTGTGTCTCTCCCCGTGTCTCAGTGACTCCGATGAACCGGGCTCCGCTTCAGTCCCTGCCAAGCTCCTCCTCCGTCTCTGCACTCGGTCCACTCAGCCTTAAATTCTGGGAATTAGAGAGGACTCCCCCGATGGAGGATGGTGATGGTGGTTGTGGTGATTGTGGTGGCGGTGATTGTGGTGGCGGTGATGGTGGTGGTGATGTTGATGGAGGTGATGGTGGTGGTGGTGGTGATTGTGGTGGCGGTGATGGTTGCGGTGATGGTGGTGGTGGTGGTGGTGATTGTGGTGGCGGTTATGGTGGTGGCGGTGATGGTGGTGGTGATGTTGATGGAGGTGATGGTGGTGGTGATTGTGGTGGCGGTGATGGTCGCGGTGATGGTGGTGGTGGTGGTGGTGATTGTGGTGGCGGTTATGGTGGTGGCGGTGATGGTGGTGGTGATGGTGTCGGTGATGGTGGTGGTGATGATGGTGGTAAAGGTGGTGGTGGTGGTGATGGTGGTGGTGATGGTGGTGGTGGTGTTGTATTTCACTAAGTAATCTAAGTTAGAAGTAGAGAATCCCAGTAATCAGATCGCTAGCTAGTCACATGACTAGGTGACCAGATTGGTGGCTATTTAGGTTACTATCTATTCAGATAATTAGATCATAAGATCGCTAGCTAGTCACATTGCTAGGTGACCAGATTAGTGGCTATTCAGGTTACTATCTATTCAGATAATTAGATAATCAGATAGCTAGCTAGTCACATTACTAGATGACCAGATTAGTGGCTAGTCACGTTACTATCTATTCAGATAATTAGATAATCAGATCGCTAGCTAGTCACATTACTAGGTGACCAAATTAGTGGCTATTCAGTTTACTATCTATTCAGATAATTAGATAATCAGATCGCTAGCTAGTAACATTGCTAGCTGACCAGATTAGTGGCTATTCAGGTTAATGTCTATTCAGATAAATAGATAATCAGATCGCTAGCTAGTCACATTACTAGGTGACCAGATAAGTGGCTATTTAGGTTACTATCTATTCAGATAATTAGATAATCAGATCGCTAGCTAGTCACATTATTAGATGACCAGATTAGTGGCTATTCAGATTACGATCTATTCAGATAATTAGATAATCAGATCGCTAGCTAGTCACATTGCTAGCTGACCAGATTAGTGGCTATTCAGGTTAGTATTTATTCAGATAATTCGATAATCAGATCGCTAGCTAGTCACATTGCTAGGTGACCAGATTAGTGGCTATTTAGGTTACTATCTATTCAGATAATTAGATAATCAGATCTCTAGCTAGTCACAATACTAGGTGGCCAGATTAGTGGCTATTCAGATTACTATCTATTCAGATAATTAGATAATCAGATCGCTAGCTAGTCACATTACTAGGTGACCAAATTAGTGGCTATTCACGTTACTATCTATTCAGATAATTAGATAATCAGATCGCTAGCTAGTCACATTACTAGGTGACCAGATTAGTGGCTAGTCACGTTACTATCTATTCAGATAATTAGATAATCAGATCACTAGCTAGTCACATTGCTAGGTGACCAGATTTGTGTGGCTATTCACGTTACTATCTATTCAGATAATTAGATAATCAGATCGCTAGCTAGTCACATTGCTAGTTGACCAGATTAGTGGCTATTTAGGTTACTATCTATTCAGATAATTAGATAATCAGATCGCTAGCTAGTCACATTAGTACCTGACCAGATTAGTGGCTATTCATGTTACTATCTATTCAGATAATTAGATAATCAGATCGCTAGCTAGTCACATTGCTAGCTGACCAGATTAGTGGCTCTTCAGGTTAGTATCTATTCAGATAATTAGATAATCAGATCGCTAGCTAGTCACATTGCTAGGTGACCAGAGATAATTGGCTAGTCAGATTACTATCTATTCAGATAATTAGATAATCAGATCGCTAGCTTGTCACATTGCTAGCTGACCAGATTAGTGGCTAGTAAGGTTACTATCTATTCACATAATTAGATAATCAGATCGCTAGCTTGTCACATTGCTAGGTTACCAGATTAGTGGCTAGTCAGGTGACTATCTATTCAGATAATTAGATAATCAGATCGCTAGCTAGTCACATTGCTAGATGACCAGATTGGTGGCTATTTAGGTTACTATCTATTCAGATAATTAGATAATCAGATCGCTAGCTAGTCACAATACTAGGTGACCAGATTAGTGGCTATTTAGGTTACTATCTATTCAGATTATTAGATAATCAGATCGCTAGCTAGTCCCATTGCTAGGTGACCAAATTAGTGGCTAGTCATGTTACTATCTATTCAGATAATTATATAATCAGATCGCTAGCTAGTCACATTGCTAGCTGACCAGATTAGTGGCTATTCACGTTACTATCTATTCAGATAATTAGATAATCAGATCGCTAGCTAGTCACATTACTAGCTGACCAGATTATTGGCTATTCACGTTACTATCTATTCAGATAATTAGATAATCAGATCGCTAGCTAGTCACATTGCTAGATGACCAGGTTAGTGGCTATTCAGATTACTATCTATTCAGATAATTAGATAATCAGATGGCTAGCTAGTCACATTGCTAGGTTACCAGATTAGTGGCTAGTCACGTTACTATCTGTTCAGATAATTAGATAATCAGATCGCTAGCTAGTCACATTACTAGGTGACCAGATATTTGGCTATTCTAGTTACTATCTATTCAGATAATTAGATAATCAGATCGCTAGCTTGTCACATTACTAGGTGACCAAATTAGTGGCTAGTCACGTTACTATCTATTCAGATAATTAGATAATCAGATCGCTAGCTAGTCACATTACTACCTGACCAGCTTAGTGGCTATTCATGTTACTATCTATTCAGATAATTAGATAATCAGATCGCTAGTTAGTCACATTGCTAGCTGACCAGATTAGTGGCTCTTCAGGTTAGTATCTATTCAGATAATTAGATAATCAGATCGCTAGCTAGTCACATTGCTAGGTGACCAGAGATAATTGGCTAGTCAGATTACTATCTATTCAGATAATTAGATAATCAGATCGCTAGCTTGTCACATTGCTAGCTGACCAGATTAGTGGGTATTCAGGTTACTATCTATTCAAATGATTAGATAATCAGATCGCTAGCTAGTCACATTACTAGGTTACCAAATTAGTGGCTATTCACGTTACTATCTATTCAGATAATTAGATAATCAGATCGCTAGCTAATCACAATACTAGGTTACCAGATTAGTGGCTAGTCACGTTACTATCTATTCAGATAATTAGATAATCAGATCGCTAGCTAGTCACATTACTAGGTGACCAGATTAGTGGCTAGTCACGTTACTATCTATTCAGATAATTAGATAATCAGATCGCTAGCTAGTCACATTGCTAGGTGACCAGGTTAGTGGCTATTCATGTTAATATATATTCAGATAATTAGATAATCAGATCGCTAGCTAGTCACTTGACTAGGTGACCAGATTAGTGGCTAGTCACGTTACTATCTATTCAGATAATTCGATAATCAGATCGCTAGCTAGTCACATTACTACCTGACCAGATTAGTGGCTATTCATGTTACTATCTATTCAGATAATTAGATAATCAGATCGCTAGCTAGTCACATTGCTAGCTGACCAGATTAGTGGCTCTTCAGGTTATTATCTATTCAGATAATAAGATAATCAGATCGCTAGCTAGTCACATTACTAGGTGTCCAGATTAGTGGATTTTCAGGTTACTATCTATTCAGATAATTAGATAATCAGATCGCTAGCTAGTCACATTGCTAGCTGACCAGATTAGTGGCTAGTCATGTTACGATCTATTCAGATAATAAGATAATCAGATCGCTAGCTAGTCACATTACTAGGTGTCCAGATTGGTGGCTATTTAGGTTACTATCTATTCAGATAATTAGATAATCAGATCGTTAGCTTGTCACATTACTAGGTGACCAGATTAGTGGCTATTTAGGTTACTATCTATTCAGATAATTAGATAATCAGATCGCTAGCTAGTCACATTACTACCTGACCAGATTAGTGGCTATTCATGTTACTATCTATTCAGATAATTAGATAATCAGATCGCTAGCTAGTCACATTGCTAGCTGACCAGATTAGTGGCTCTTCAGGTTAGTATCTATTCAGATAATTAGTAATCAGATCGCTAGCTAGTCACATTGCTAGGTGACCAGAGATAATTGGCTAGTCAGATTACTATCTATTCAGATAATTAGATAATCAGATCGCTAGCTTGTCACATTGCTAGCTGACCAGATTAGTGGGTATTCAGGTTACTATCTATTCAGATAATTAGATAATCAGATCGCTAGCTAGTCACATTACTAGGTTACCAAATTAGTGGCTATTCACATTACTATCTATTCAGATAATTAGATAATCAGATCGCTAGCTAATCACAATACTAGGTTACCAGATTAGTGGCTAGTCACGTTACTATCTATTCAGATAATTAGATAATCAGACCGCTAGCTAGTCACATTACTAGGTGACCAGATTAGTGGCTAGTCACGTTACTATCTATTCAGATAATTAGATAATCAGATCGCTAGCTAGTCGCATTGCTAGGTGACCAGGTTAGTGGCTATTTATGTTAATATATATTCAGATAATTAGATAATCAGATCGCTAGCTAGTCACATAACTAGGTGACCAGATTAGTGGCTATTCAGGTTAGTATTTATTCAGATAATTAGATAATCAGATCGCTAGCTAGTCACATTGCTAGGTGACCAGATCGGTGGCTATTTAGGTTACTATCTATTCAGATAATTAGATAATCAGATCGCTAGCTAGTCACATTGCTAGGTGACCAGATTAGTGGCTATTCAGATTACTATCCAGATAATCAGATAATCAGATCGCTAGCTAGTCACATTGCTAGGTGACCAGATAAGTGGCTATTCTAGTTTCTATCTACTCAGATAATTAGATAATCAGATCGCTAGCTAGTCACATTGCTATCTGACCAGATTAGTGGCTATTTAGGTTACTATCTATTCTTATAATTAGATCATCTGATCACTAGCTAGTCACATTGCTAGGTGGCCAGATTAGTGGCTATTCATGTTACTATCTATTCAGATAATTAGATAATCAGATCGCTAACTAGTCACATTACTAGGTGACCAGATCAGTGGCTATTTAGGTTACTATCTATTCAGATAATTAGATAATCAGATCGCTAGCTAGTCACA